CACTCACTCACTCACTCACTCACTCACTCACTCACTCACTCACTCACACCTAGGAACATCCATCCATTATCTTTACCCGCTTATTCCATTTTGGGTCACGTCACGAGGGTCGCTGGAGCCCATGTCCAGCAATCACTGTGCGAGGGGCGGGGTTCACCCTGGATGGGCCGCAAGTCCATCACAGGGACACATAGAGACAAATGAGACAACCATTCACTCTCTCACTCACACCTAGGAAAACTTAAGAGTTACCATTCAGCCTAACATGCATGTTTTTGTCCTTTGGGAGGAAACAGGAGTACCCGGAGAAAACCCACATATGCACGGAGAGAACATGCAAACTCCACCCAGAAAGGTTCCTGGCCATCCCTACATTTGGGGAAACTATGGTTTATGTTTTTTTACAATAATTGTTTCCTCAAATTATTAGTGTGACCGAAAACTAACCTATGGTGGCCAAGGCCACCACTGGCTTTTTCCTGGCTCCACCATTACACCTGGCTGTGGATCCAAACAAAAGGGTTAAGAAACAAAACAACTGGATTTCTGTTCTGTCAGCTTTCTTCTAGCTACAGATTAGAAGTCCAGTTGTTTTGTTTTTAACCCATTTTTTGGACTTACCTGCATGACTGAGAATATTCCCCTGCACCTGGTAATGGATACAATTGCTTCCTCCATTTGCCAGGATCCATCACTCTCTATTACCTCAGACAAGAAAAACCCTGTCTCTCTTCTTATATACAGTGCAACTCATACCCACTTGTATATCGTACCAAAAACATTAACGCTTACTTGCATTCCCTGTTAAATTTCAGTTCAGAAATACACTCTTCTCAAAAACTACAAACATTCACTATATTAATCATTTAGCGACGGAGGATATCAGTGTACAGCTAATTTATTTTACCTTCATTTAGACACCGTTGACAACTGCACAACTGTGAAACAGCAGCAAAGATGTCTAATTGGTAAAATAGACCAACAAACTATCAGCCAGTCCAAGCAATAAATAAATAATAACATAATGTAATGCCAATCAATTTACTGGTATCTCATTTACTTGTTTATTTTTTATTGATTCCATATGACTTAGAATACTTTAAAGATGTGTGTTACAAGCCACAAGACTCAAAATCCTTTAGGCTCTATTGTTGATTTTATGTAGACTACACATTCTGACAATTATTTATAATACCATATAACTATTTACTATAGTGGGGTGTACTGCACCTGCTGTACAAGGCAGTAACTAGATCAGTTTAATCTCATGAAGCATTTAGTCACTTCCACAGATGCTTCACTCCCCCTGAAGACCAGTTCAATGGCTCACACAACCATAATCATCAAAAGCAACTTATCTTTTTATTTTCAGCACGCTGATCTCATTTTAATGCCAAACTGAATAATGGATTTTGAGTTATACTTGCACATACTGAAGTTTTTACTTTATTTTCTTTCTGCCTAGAGTTTGGTGAAGGGACGTGGTGTTCATGAACAAACACATCACAGTCTGTGGTTCAAACTGTTTCCTCTCCACTGCCATTTCTTTTGGATGTAGAATTTATACAGAATGTCCCAGCTAAAATTACACAGTCAGTTGATGGTTTCCAATGTTAGTTTTATTAAGGAATGATCTTTCTGTTAGATTTTCAGCTGTTTCATCAATACATCCTGTCCATCTTTTGTCTCATGTCTGTAAAAGCTCTTGTTAGCCACTAGCACAAATGTCCTTATGGTCTCTAATCACGTCGTCTGCTTTCTTCAGATCCTCTTATCTTGTCTGATGCCTGTTTTAGATTCTTCTTGATAACTCACTGCTCCGAGATCACAGGATCACGTTTTACACTGAAAAGTACCCAAGTAAAAATCTGAATACGAAAGGTCAGCGACTGCTTCTCCATCTCTTGCCTCGACGGCTGCTTTTAAGCATCAGCAAAGCACCAAGTGAGCTCTTTAATGCTGAGTGTGAATAAAAAAGCTCTTCACTGCAACCACATTATGCACTTTATCTGTAGTTTTAATGCAACTTTAAAGTAAAGTTATTAAAAATTAAAACTGATTAATTTGTCTGGCTTCTTTTAAGGACTTATTTATAAAGTTTTCAGACATTTGCTGAGTTTCTATGATTTCTTTTTTGAATAGTAGCACCAAAGATTTTCAGTTTATTTTGATGAAAAAAATGAACATGAAAAAAAAAAACACATAAAAAACTGACTCATTATACAGTAGAAACCAGAAACTTACGTACACTGTATATAAAAACAAAAGCCGACCTGACTCAGTTACTGTCAGGATCTGTGTTTTTGTTGTTACTATATTATTATTATTATTTTTATTGTTGTTAATATATATATATGTATATATATGTACATATATATATATATATATATATATATATATATATATATATATATATGTATATATATATATATATATATATATATATGTATATATATGTGTGTGTACACACCCATACTTTTTAAATTACTAATCCTTGTATAATATAATAATAGAATATAATGATAATAATAATAATAATAATAATAATAATAATAATAATAATAATATACACATATTAAAAAAAAAATAATAATACTCCTTGTGTTGTGAAGTCCCTCCACACCCCGGGACCCGTATCAAGATGTAAGTCTTGTTTTCGGTCAAACTCATGTCTCCCAGTCTTCAAACAAGGAGGTTTATTTGTAAACATTTTTTAATTTTATAAAAATTATTATTTACTTTTTTTTTCTACTCTGTCCATGATATGATTTTTTTTTTGGTTTTTTTTCTAAAATTGAATTTTGCCTGTCGACTTGAAAATACTAGCAAGTTGCATGTTCATGGTGCACCCAGTAATGACTTCCTGCCTTGGGATAACCTGATGGCAGACTGTCAGCTGTGGAGCGTTTGTTTCTGCCTCCTGCTTCAAGCTGAACATTTGTTGAGTAGTAATTGTTCACTTGTGCACATTACAAATGAGTTTTTGTTGTTTGCATCCAAAATAAAATGATTTTATTGGATGAGAAAAACGGTTTCACTAAAGGTAAACTTGTTGAAGATCTTGTAAAAACTCTCCAGGCGACACAAAATGAACGAGGTCTACCTGATTTCTGATGCAACATCATGAATTTCTTGAACAAATGAAGGTCATGAACACCAGCCCTGAGGTCACATAAGCCATTACATTTTAATTACTCCAAAAGCTCACCTTCTCCATCTGGCACTCTTTGACTCCACCATTCTCTCTCCTCATTACTCCTATGTTCATGGGCGATTTAGTTGCTGTGACAATTCTCTGAATTTTGGAGATATCCTGTAGGTAAAAACAAAAGATCAGAGTTTAGAGTTAAACACAGAAGTCATGTAAATTGTAGCAGAGGCTCTGATCGCTTTGAAATGAGAACGGTTCTGATTCATATTGTGGCTTTTCTGTATTATACATCTCATTTAAATGAATAAAAACAGTCTTCTTTTCTCTTGGGTAGCAATACAAAAACAAGCACACATTAAAGATGGTTAAACTGCTTTTAATTTTACAATTATTGCATTTTGAATGTTTTTTTTTCCTGATGGTAGACTGAGCACTCAAGTTCAAATTTATTGTCATTCTCATCACATGTGATCCATGAGGTGGAATGAAATTATGTACTCAGGTTCCCAGTTACACCCCAAAATAGCAAAAATATAAAGTATAAAAAGATCTACTAAGATATATGCTAAACGAATGCCAAATGAAACGCTAAAAGATCTAAGCTATACACTAAACAATAATAATAATGTAAAACGATATGACGTATCAACAGCAGCCCAAACACTTGATGTGATATGTGATGTGCAAGGCATGACATTTGTTGTAAAGGTTTCTTTCAGTGCATCAGATAATTTACAGGCACAATTTTATTCCCATCCAAAGAAGTAGATTAACCAGCTGCTAGCTGGACAAACACCACCATACACAGAGCCATTCTCATAGCATGGTTACACACTGTGCAAAGTTAATAAACTGAGAAGTTCATAAGCTGGAAACGTTTTAGCATCTTCTTTTTTCTATGAGAAAAGACATGAGCATGTGCGACACAAGGCTATATTTTTAGAATACAATCGAAAGAGGCACAGTTTTTTCTTGGTGCTAACAACACATTTTATTCACTCTTTGCTCGGTGCTGGTTGATTATAAGCATTCACTGATTGCAGTTGGCTGGATAAGAAGCCAATCAACACACATGTGCTGTATGTGTAGAAAAACATCCCAATTACTGTTTTTATTAACTTGTCTGTTCATTTATCACATCTAGGCTGGATAATTGTAATTGTTTATTGTCCAAAAATGTCCTTAAAATTTATTCAGTTGATCCAAAATGCTGCTGCCAGAGTCTTAATGAGAGCTGGAAGGGGAGATCATATCTCTCCAGTTTTTGCTTCCCTCTGTTGGCTCCCTGTCAAATTCAGAATATAATTCAAAATCCTACTTCTAACCTACAAAGCTCTCAACAACCTAGCTCCATCATATATTAGAGATCTAATTGTTCCATATTTTCCTAACAGAGCACTTCGCTCTCAGACTGCGTTTTTTTTTTTTTTGTGGTTCCTAGAGTTTCTAAAAGCAGAATGGGAGGACGATCTTTTAGTTATCAGGCTCCTCTCTTGTGGAGCCAACTTCCAGTTTCTGTCCGTGTAGCTGACACATTGTCCAGTTTTAAGACTGGGATTAAGACTTTCCTTTTTGATCCATCCTACAGTTATGGTTGGCTTGGTTTCCTGAGATATCCCTTATTTTATGCTTCTATATAGGCTTAGACAGCTGGAGGACAAACTGACCACATTTCCTCACTCTGCTGCTGTCTTTACTTGTTCTACTCTACCTGTTTGTATTTGTAATTATTTATATTTTTTAACATGTTTTTGTCTTTCCTGCAATAGAAAGTACACATGCACCTGTCATTCTGTGTTTGTTTGTCTGTTTCTTCTTCTTGTTCCTCCCAGTCATCGACCAGTCAAAGCAGATGGCTGCTCATCCTGATCCTGGTTCTTCGGGAGGTTTCCTCCTGTTAAAAGGGAGTTTTTCCTTCCCACTGTTTCCACTGGGCTTGCTTGCTCAGGATGGGAAATTTCAACCAAGGTTAGGTTCAACACAATCAGCTGGCTTCCTTTACTAATTATCTTTTATAGTGTATGTGAATGTTTCTGTTCAGTGCCCTGAGAAGTCTTCTGTTGTGATTTGCCGCTGTACAAGTAAACTAAATTGAACTGAATTGAATTATTTACTTGCATAAAAAAAAAACAGTTATCAACAACTATATCAGATCACATTCATAAACTGGACAGACTAAACTAGATTTATCTTCAGCTAAAAACAAAAGTTCAGCAAACCCATATCTTTTACAGTCGCTAGGGGACACTGCCTGCATTTTTCTGTACCTGTGAGTAATATATATATATATATATATATATATATATATATATATACACGTACTGTTTTTACAGAATACATATTGGTGCTACAATCAGCACAATGTCAGATGATCTGCATGTATTTGAAACTTCTTTTCACCAACATTTAGCAAAAAAAATCAACAACTATTATTTGTCTTGGTTTATGTTGTTTAGCTGTTATGTAGATTTTACTTTTAAAATGAACAAATATTCAGATTTTCTTTTAGGCTTCATAAAGAATATATTATGTGATTTATGGTAAATTTTATAACAAATGGTAAGAAAAATACTTTTTCACATTAGAGTATGTGGTATTGCTTTTTCTACACAAATATTTGCACAAACATAAATGTTCACATATTTTTTTGAGTACTACATAAAGTCTCAAATGAGAGTGTTGTCATTTGAAACAATAGAGAGGTTTATGTAACTCCTTCAGAAAGGTCATTAAACATGAAACAAAATATGGTGATTGGTCAGCTTTGTATAAAATTAGTGCATTCAAGATTTACTCATGTCACCTTTGCAAACACTTCCTCATGATCTGTGAGTTATTTATACATTTACATGTCTCCAAAGGAAGAGTTTTTGTAAGAATCTACTGTCACAAATGAAGAATGCAATTGCAGAAAACATGGGAAGACAGCCATGTAAGACGGTTTAGAGGGAGCAACTCTGGATACATCCAAGAGCAAGACAGTGCACGGTGTAGGCCTCTGGCTGAAAAAACAGGCTGAGTAGACAATTGAAGTAGATGAAACTAGGATCCAACCGAGCACTGAAGATGATCTGCCTGGTTGTCTAGGGCAAAGAAGAAACACCTCAGGAGGTCTTCCAGACTGAAGGTGGGTCTAGTCTATGAAAGGAGAAATCCCTTAAGGGCTTGGCCAGGACACAGGAAACAATCATGTAGTTGACCGGGATGCTAGGGAGCTCAGGGCAGATGATGTGGATGGAGGACCACCCACCTGGTCCTTCTAGATGATTGGAACAGACAGAATCAGGTCCATTAGGATGCATTGCAATGGCTGACACTGGAGCTGATGAAGAGTAATCAAATGGACCCCCTACGGACTTTGATGTGGAGGAGGGGTTAGTGTTATTTCCCAATCTGTTATGGAACTCGATTTGTAGTGTAGCTCATTTGTGCATGCGCTAAAAGGAATACTTCTGGGTCTCACAGATTGCCGTTGAAAATGCTAGATTAAGGAAAATGTACTAGTATAATTCCATTTATGAATAAGAACTGTCTTAATTTACTTAGAAAAGTATGTGCTCTATCTCCGCCGGTTTTCATGTTGCTACTTTACGCCACTCGTATTTCAGTTAAAACCACTGACATATTTACGTCATGGTTAAAATTGTATGCAGCTTTCCACTGGGCAGCGCTGTTTCACCATGGAAATAATTTATTCTGTATCTTGCAGGGTTTTCTCATTCAGCCCAGGCTGGGGGTCAGGTGTAATGCGTCACATATCATCTTAACCAATGATTTGTAATGGAAAATACGAGTGGCATAAATTAGCTACATGAAGATTGGTGGAGGTAGAGCACATGCATGCTTTCAGCCCACTCCCTGTAAGGACTTTCCTCTGGGCTAAAAGCTCAGCTAACAACAACTTAACAACAAGTTAAAGCTGGATTTTGGATAAGAGTTGACATTTGACGCCAAGCGGGACCGCTTCATCTAACAGCTACACACCGGTCGCTGAGTGGACCAGAACCAAGTCGACAATGATGACGTTGGACTTTCTACTCCATGATAATCAGTAGCTGATTTACAGCAGGTAAATCAACATTCTTAATAATGTTAGCTTGTGTTTACTTCGATTACACAACAACCAAGCTTTTATTTTTATTTTTCCTGCGAGGAGAAGCTGTCCTCCCACCAAGCCGACCAGTTCTGAACGAGACTCGGCCCAGGTGCCGTGTAGGAGGACGTCGAAGAGAGAGATGTTGGATAAACTATTCATTTAATTTTCCCCTCAGTTCTTTTATTCAATCCATTCAATATTTTAAACTACAAAGTACATTAAGCAAAGGAGTGACAGCCTGAATGAGCCAGATGCCCAACATGGGACCAGTATATCCAGGATGAAAACAGAGGCGAGTCCAATTCATCAATGTAGTTTACAGTTCGATTAACATGTTTTTAATAGTATGTTCAGTTTAATTATCAGTGTTTGTGTGACGTACAGTTTGTGGTGTTGAATTAATAAATATAAATTAAACCTTGTGTTTTCATTTTCTTCTTTAATCACACGCAACACATGTCATGTTAATAGAAATGCCGTCTGTCTACGCGTGCGTGTGCGCATGTGGTTTAATACAAGCCTCAGTGGGAGATGCTTACGTTATCAGCCGGTGGTCAACGAAAAATCTCCACTCAGAGAGGTGGGTTCAGAAACATCCGGATTCATAGAGAGGGGCCACTGGTGTCGTGTAAATGAACAGCAGAACCGCAGAGAGAAAGGAGTGGATTCACTCAAAATATGCGACACGTAAACGGCCCCTTAGGGTAAAAAAATGAATAAATAATAGGGTGATGTAATGCAGCTTCACTATGGGGAGGCGCTGTTTCACCATGGAAATAATTCATTCTATATCTTGCAGGGTTTTCTCATTCAGCCCAGGCTGGGGGTCATGACGTAATATGTCAATGATTTTAATGGAACTATGAGCGGCATAAATTAGCAACATGAATATCGTACTTTTCTAAGTAAATTAGTACAGTTTCCTTAATCTTGCATGTGGCGATCCATGCGGCATGGAAGTATTACTTTTAGCGCATACGCAAATGAGTTGACACCACGGATTGGTTTCCTTAACAGATTGGGGAATGACGAGCAGGACCTTATAAGAAGCCATGACAGGAAGACT